GTGGATCGGTGTGGCGCGGTGTCTGGTTTCAGTCACTGATGTGCTCTGAGTGCTCTGAACACCGGCTGGTAACACTTGTTGCCGGATGGGTGACCACTCGGGTTCTTAGTGAAAAACTATAAAAAAACGTAACTCTTGCAATATCTATTGCATAATGGCCATTAATACCGGGCTCAAAATCAAAAAAATTCAAAAATAAATTTCTCAATCCAAACAGAATTAAAAGTAAAATAAAAATATTTTTTTTTATATAATTCCAAAAATTTCATGTTTATACATTTTTTTTTTGACATTCTAAAGCTAGTAACACACAGTGTGCTTAAATATCATATTTTTGAATAAAATAAATAATCAGATTCATATTATAATCAGATTATTTTCATTTATTTATTTTTTAATCTTAGAAATTAATTTGTTTTTATGCAAAACTAATCGTTGTCTGTTGTAGATGAAGTATAATTTCGATACACTTTTTACATTTCATAGATGAACAATTAATGTAATAGTTCAGTCAAAATTCACAGTAATACTGTACCAATAAAAAATATTTTTTATGTGGATTTGGTAGATCAAAGTGAAGATAAACAAAATTTGATCTCTTTTACAGTCGTAAAAACTATAAATCAATGAGTAGGAAATTTAATTATTTATTAAAGTTTATACATCATTCTAATAAATTAATATTTTTTTAACGTAATAAAGTGAAAATAGTCTCTCCAATAATCCTAAAATTGTAATTTGTTTTCAATGCACATAATAATTATTGTATTCTACATATTAATATAAAACACTAAAATATAGATTTTTAAATGCACATATTAGTTGACGTTGATATAATCACAGCGGTGAAATGAATATTATATTTGTCTGAAAATCAGTAGTTGAACAATAGTTATTAATACATTTTCTGTTGTTTCGTGATAAATTAAATTAAACCTTGCTATTACATTTTGCGAGGCGACCAATTCAAAACTGGATTTTACCGTAGATTTGAGATTTTTTAGTATGCATATAATATTATTAACATTACTAAGCTCGTGTTGTAGTTCAGACAATCAAGAACAGAGGATTATATCGTAAGACCCATAGTGCGATAGTGGACAAAACATTAAACGCAGACACACACACACTCAAACATTTTATTACGATAAAAGTCAACTGAATGCAGCACAGCATTGTGTCGCGTTGAAAAATGTTCTCCCGACAATAATAATATTATATTATAGTAATTCGCATGAGAAGGCCCATCGGAGCGGTATTATAATATTCTCGTGGTATTCAATACGATGAACCGACGGTGGGGGTAGGGGTCGGGTACTATATAATAGTTTCCGAGACGTGGCAAATCTTATCAGACACACTATCGAATCGCCAGACCGTCGTTCTAATCAACGTGGCTGCAGCAAGATGTCTCCTGCTCCGGACCAGAGATAAACACGGCGTTATATATGAATGACGATTTACCCTCGTGATTTGAAAACCCACAAGGTCGTCCGGATGAAAAGAGTTCGTTTTTTCTCGTTTCCACCCTCCCCACACATTCAGGCCGATGAAACCCGTGCTACCCTATGCAGGGTATTATCGCTCGAATATAAGCGCTACGGGACGACTGTGGTTTTTTACGGTAAGTCGCGTGTCGTCGGCTTTGCGTAAAACTTTGTACTCGATAAATATATACGACGAAGCTTTCGGCACGGCGGTGATAAGTATACATATTATATACGCCACGCCTTGGTTGTAATAATGATCGAAAACCGTGTCGGTCTGCCAAACGGATATATAGGAACACGGGCGAGTTGCACGTTACTCCGAGATCCTATATAAATATATATATATGTGTGGGTATTATATATATACACACCCACGCAGACGTATTCCCACAAGTCGGCCGGACGACCGGCGTCGCGATAATTCCGGTCGGGATACACCGCACCGGAGCGGTGGTGCTCGGAACGAACGAATTGTCAAATCAAAAGCGACCGCGGCTACGGGTTCTGGTCGTTTGTTAATTTTTGTCCTGCACCACCCTTAGAGACGGACATTCCTTAACGCCCGCGCTGCGCCCACTTCCGGTGACCGCCACCGCCGGCAAATCGGAAGTCATGGGCCCGCCGGGATAAGCGTGGGCGAACTCCCTTCTTGCGCGAGCTTCTCTCTCGGTGTCCATACAATAATATCGCCTCGTTCTTCTTGATATAAAATATAATAATAATATAGGTACCCGCGAGGCGAATTTTTTACTCCCTCGGAATCCCCGTCGTCTCGTTTACCGCCTCGGACCACAGCAGCATCTGCACAGACCCAATCGTCGACCGCGTATAGTATATAAACGAAGTCGACCGCCTACTACACCGCCGCCGCCGCGTTCATTAATCGTTAAACAACAATGTACGACGGTTGCTTTAGGCCGCGTGTCCGAAATGATATTTTATATGGATACCTAATAATATGTTATCATTTATCGTGTATAACGCCAACCATATTTCACAAGCCTTTTTAAATGGTTTTGCAGTCCACGTCCACGTCGCCTCCACCACCACCGCATCGTTCGAGAGGGCAGGGTCATAACGGTAATAATGCCCGTCAATGTAAAACGCTATGTATACGTGTGTGTGTGTGCTGGAGTGAACGTTCGAAATCCGATCGCATTATATTTTATTTATAATATTATCGTAAAAATATCGAATTTTCCGGTCAGTCCCGGTGTCGGTGAACGGGGGGGGGGGATGTTTTTTTTTCGATGATCGCTGCCGCCGCGTTGGGGACGAGGGGACAATATTCGCGACCCGGATGACGTTAATGGCCAATATTGAAACAATGTGTCCCCCCGTCATCCCCGTCGGTCGCTCGCGAGACCGACCGGCCCGGAGCCCGTTTAATATAAATTTTGGCATATTGTTAACCCTCAAGGATCATATACGATATAATATAGCGCGAGCCGTTTCAACCCCCCCGACCCGCCCGGACACGATCAATCGGTTATTTATTATACATGGACTACGGTGTGTATATAACATTACACAATATTATTATTATATTATAATAGTGCCCCCGCCATATCCAGTCGCATCACTGTTTATAATAATCACGACCGATGACGATGATAATAATAATAATAATACGATTATTATTATGGTAATTATACGGACGACGCGTGATCCCGGCCGGTTGTAAATATCGTCGCGGACGTCCTTGCCCACCACCACCACTCCAATGTTCACTGCAACCCTCGTCTTCCATGGACGCTGTATAGTAGTACTATCTGTATAATGTGTGTATAATAATATTATATTATGTAAATGTGTGTAATATCATCGCGCGAATTAAATGTGCCGACCAATATTCGCGAATATTATTATATTTGATGGAGTGCCCACGCCGTTGTCCGCCGTCCGACGAGTGGCTGACCCTGTGAAACGGAAACGCGTCACATACACATCACGGCCCAATAATACACGACCGTATTATATTATCGTTGTTCCGATATTACATTTTGACTTCCGTGTACGCGATGGTAAATGTCGGTTCTATCCTCGAATAAGTATGAAACGTGTGCACGTGTATATAACATTATCTATATACCTATGTCCTATATTAATAAAAGGCGATGTACAATTGAAGGCCGGTCAAGAAAGCAGTAAAATCCACAGAAACCCCAAAACTTGATGTACCTAACAATTTATGCTGGATGAAAAAACCAAATCAAAGGACTTACCCAAATCCAAGGGAAGACACACTGGCTCAATCAGAACGCTGAATTAAAAAAAAATCGAAAACACCATCTTTAGCTGGCCTAACCTCCCTCTGAATAGAAGGAATAAGGTAATTACTAATTACCAATAGAGTATAGACTCTGCATCGGCCACACCCTTCTTACACACGGATACGTCATGGTAAAAGAGAGAAACCACATAATCACATAATTTCTCCATAGGCAGACGGCCTAAACAAAAAAAAAAAAAATTGTATATCTAATGGCTAACTTCGCCGATGTTCATAAAGAACAATAAAAATAGGCGATGTTTGTATGTGTTTGCGTGTGTGTAAGCGATGATCTACAGCCAATTAAACACTCGTGGTTCTGAAATTTGATACTAGGTTATCCGAGGATGTGCACAGTGAACATCGAAGTCAAATTTTTAAATTTTGCATATTAGATGGTGAATCACACAGACATCAGTTTTTTGTTGTTAAATTGATGGCTAACAAAAAACTAATATTTTTTTTGGTTTGTTTCCCATTAATTACAGAAAATAAAATAGTGATTATGATTAAATATTTTAGACCTATATTTTATATTTGTTCAAAACTACCCTAATACCTGTGTTAAAAATCTGTGCAGTTTACATTTAACGGATTTCATAAAGGAAATAAGCCATTCATTTTGTCAAGAGCGATTCCGTACAAGCTGGATAAGCTAGTTTATTATTTACCGTCGACTTGGCTAAATTCGCATAGAAGCAGTGGTCCGAGAAATGGACTAAAATTATTCCATCTCGTTGTTGGTTCGACAACGTCAAATCTTAGACTTATACTATCAAATCGAACCACCTTATTCACACACACAAGGATTGTGACGGGTAGTTAGACTGAGATTTTTTTTTAGCAATTGTTGTATGTAAGTATGCGTGTATAGTGTGAACACGACGGATAAATATCGTCCATCGTATTACTAAAACAAAGTGAGACCTGATTGTCGGGTGGATTAAAAAACGATTCCATAGTTTTTTTATAATAATTGTTTTCTACACACGCATAAAATAACGTATTAAAAGAATGACAAAAAAAAAATGGCAATGAGCAAACGACAAAGACCTTTGGTAAATCAAGTGTAGGTGACGTCGTGACTCTTTTGACCCTGTTTGAAAAAAATAATAAAAATTGTCGACATGCGTTTACACACGCATGACGCTGCAGGTACCTACCACCGACCAATGTGCATTATTATTTTTATTTTTAACTTGCTTTATAATATATTATTTTAAATATATAAGCGCGAAATGTGGGACAAAGTAAAAAGGACGGTGTTGGCGGTAGTCAATAACTCATTCGAGCGAGCAATCAAAGAGGATAGCCTGTCAGAATCCAGCACTAAATCAACGACAAGCCATTCCATTACTGTATGGAAAACCGGGCGATGGGCGTGCGAGCGTTGGGGAGGCGGGGGTGGGTTTGAGACGCGGGAGAAGAGTGTTCTCTGCCGTCGACCCTAGCGACCGGTGATTCTCGAATTTCAATTAACCCGGACTACAAATCAAACAGCTTAAACACGAAAGTGACAAGAAAAGGCAACCCGACCCATACTACCGCGCCCGTCACAGTCACTACAACCACCTCCACCGCCGGCGTCCAAAAGCTTTCCTCTATATACACACAACAATATTGCCGCGGTGCCTCGAAATATCAAACCGGACAAAGAAAATGCATTAATTTTCCCAGAGTCGTATTCCTGCAGTAGTGTATACGCGCACATATAACATTATGCAATGAATAAAACTACCACCCGAGATGTTAATAAATAAACGTGGACATTATTGCGAGTTCATTTATATAAACACCGCCGTCGTCGTTATATTATTATCGTCGCGAAAAACGCGTCTGAGTCGTATAATAAAAGTCCAGGGTGCCTGCAGGGTGTGCAGGGTTGACACTCACCGAGCCGCCCGAGTTGATATGCGCACAATATATTATTATATTATATGCATATACAGTGCGTACTCGCGATTGTCTGCGCTGACGTGATTCCAACTCCCAGTCACCCAACCCCCACCCTATCCCCACCCATTTAACACCGAGAGACTAACGACATCGTTTCGACCGCGAGACTCGATGTTTTCACAATTAATTTGTCTCGAGCGCCCCCGGGATGGTAAATGATTTCGTCATTAATCACACACCCTCCGGCCCGACGGCGGCGGTAATAGTGGACAAAGTACTACTTCCGCGGGACGCACGCTTTCTACTGCCACTATTACTAGGTATATACTACCACGACCATTACAAATATTTCTACTTATAATATACTACCACCGCGACTGCTACGCCATAATATAACGGACTCTCTATAACGACGTTTTAATACGTTTTTTAAGCGGTTTAAGGAGAATAAAAAAATTAGTCCCGCCGAATTAAAAACCGTTTTGTCCAGTATTAATTGGATTGATCCGATAGGACGATCCCTCTCATTAGCTAAGTAATATTTTTAAGCTTATAGCTATATATAGATCTCGTACATCGCGATTAGCTCTCTCGTTCGTTCTATATTCGTTTGTCGTCTTCGGATGGATTTCACAGACCGACAGATTATACTACGGTAGGACGCGCGTGAAACGACATCGACGACGACAGCGTGCTCTAGTTTTTGTACGGCGTCGGCGGCGGCAATAACGTACAATAATGACAGTCATAATAATAACAATAATTATTATTATTATTATTGTACGACGAGTGCGTGTGCGTAATGATATAATATATAAAACCGGATAATGGGATAAACCCGACCGGGTCGGTCGGCTGCAGCTAAATAATAATAATAATAATAACTATAAAACTGCGGGCGGCGGCAGTCGTTTGTGCCCCGCTAGATCCGCGAGTACGTCGCACATTCGTGTGTGCGGGGGCAGCGCAGCCCTGCGATGTCTTTTCTCCGGGCCGGCGATATCTCGCGCCCGACCTAATGTGAATTATAATAGTCACGTAACGATTAAAATTAAATCCCATCCAATGGCCTCGCCATATCATACATGCGAATACATATAATAGTCGTCGCGAAACAGGTGCCATACTATGTACGGCGGTGCCGTGCCGTTAATACCCACCCTCGTTCGAGTGTGTGTGTGTGTGTGTGTGTGTGTGCGAGCGTCACACGATGCCTATAAACGGTCTGAATAAACATTGTTAACCGCGCCGGGGCCCCGTGTACAGGACCGTGTTTATGGTAATCGTCGTTAAGCCGGTGTGCGAGGTGTTTCATTTTGATTCCTCCGGAGCACAGGAAGAGGATTTTCGGACACATATTATCGGAGACCAAGAGAGAGAGAGAGAGAGAGAGAGAAAGAGAGAGTTAAAGAGAGAGGAGAGAGAGAGATAGAGAGAGGAGAGCGAGAGCGGGTCGATGGCAGTGGCGGAATGGGGTGTATAATGTGCGTATATATTACACACACACACACACACACGAGACAGAGAGAGACACATAGCGATGATCGTGTGTACATATTATATATGTCAGTGTATGTGTGTGTATAAGAGGCCCCGCGGTTCTCTCGCGAGCGTAGCAACACATTGAGATAATGGTTTTAAACTAAAATGATGTAGATATCATAAACGGCGGCGGTCCCTTAGTTCTGTTGTTGGTCGTATACCGGGGACATAATCCCTTCTACGCGGAGCGCCAGAACGCATTATCGTAATTAATGACTTTTGTTTGAATCCTTTATTAAATTTAACGCCTGAATATTGTTATGGTTATTTTGCCCAGGACCTTTTCCAGTGGGCACGTCGTGTGCGGCGATTATATGTGTATATGCTGTGTGTGCATGTGTGCTCTCGTAATGTCCAGCCGGACACGGTGTGTGTGTGTGTGAGTGTGTACGCGAGAAATTATTATTATTATTATTATTATTATTATTGTTATGGCCGTGTGTCCGCGAGCAACGGTTGTTTTGCATGGGAATCGACTGTACGGTACCGAACATTAGACGGTTATATCCACCGCCGCCGCCGCCAACTCCATCGCCACCACCTCTACCGACCTACCTCCCATCGTTTCTACTCGACGACTGCTACTTCCACTTTTGTATGTAGTGTGTGAGAACATATAAGTGTGTTTGTTTGTGCAGCATAATGTGCACTGTGTGAATACACTTCCACAGTGTCCAGTTTCACAGTTACACGCTTGCGACTGATTTCAAACTTTATGTTTAGCTCGTCTCTCCGGACGACGTGTTTTTCATAGAAAATTACGACGTTTAAACCCAACCGTGGAAATCCGTATCAACGGTTTCATGTTACGGTATATTATACAAAAATTAATTAATTAAATTTTTGGTCACCTACATTTAAAGTTCTCAGCAACCTCTGTCGGTTCTACGAGTTCAAATTAATTTCATCTACTATATAGGTAAAAGTACCCATAAAAATCTTTTAAGGCTGAACGGCAAATGCATTATTATGAAATATTTGAATAGTTAGTATCGGCGAGGTAGTTTTTTTGAAGACGTAATACATATGTTGTTAATACAATAATGTGTTAATTAATGTCGATACGCTAAAAAAAATAATGATAAAAACAGTTATTGAGATAATAAGATAACGAGTGAACAGTTATTTTCATATCGTGTACAATATTATATAAGCTATAAGGGGCAGCAGCTTAACCACAAAAATAAAAGATTACAAGATAACTATTTATTTTATGATTCAGTTACCAATTACGATTAATTTGAGTCGTATAAGTTACTATTATTCTAAATTCTAAATTAATTTTCTAACAATATTAAAAACATAGAAAATATTATTATGGAGTTTTCAGTAATACCCGCATTATCAAATATTTATTAAATGTAGGTAATTTATTTTAATATACATAATTTTTTTTTACTTCAAACAAAATTTCATTATAATTTCTTTACATATAATCATGTTATAATATTCTATAGTATATATATATATAATTAGGCTTGATGTCATACTTTGTATGTGTTAGAAGTTATAAACTTTTACGAACCATGCTATAATAACTAAGTAGGTACATATTATATTAAAATAGAACATGAAATACTGGAAAAACGGCCACCTCGACCGTCGAGTAGCTGAATTGCATAACTGAAACGCCGTGACATATTTATATTATTCAAAGGCATTAAAATACTTATTTTTATTTAACAAAATGTTTCATTATATTTTTTAATTAAATTTGATAACCTAACTTAAGTGTATGACAACTTTGATTTTCAATAAAGTAAGGTTTATTGAATTGAGGAATGTATTTAATTTACATACAAAATTGAAAATTCTAATATTATAAAAATATTAATTAATAAATTAAATTTTCTTACCTATAATCTAATAGTTTTTCATAATCAGACACGAAATAATATTAAACGAAGAATTATTGAAATTTAAATAGCAAGCGTTGAAATAACTTATAAAAATGACGATCGGTGTAACGTCAAAAAAAAATGTAGGTTCATAAAAAATGCTCAATCAAATATTTTTTATTATATTTAAATAATGATTCAACTATTCACTACAACATATTAATTATATATAATGCGATAAACTGCCGGGTCAAAGAAAATAATACCACAAAAAAGGCCATGGTGGTGTCATATTATTGACATAGAATGTAAAAATAATTACATAACAATATAAACATATGATAACAACACAAAATGTAACGTGACATCAGTGATATATCGGGTAATACGTCATGCAATGCTGAACAGTCAGTTGTATGAAATAAAATATAATAACTTATTGAATTTCGTAAGTCTCAAAGTCTTAACACGAGCTTGGTCGGCTCACGCGTTCGATATAACATAAATGTTATCCAAATAATATTTTCTTCGTCGAGAACTTTTTCATTTAGTTTTACATTCGATCAACACTATGAAGTCATTATTATTCATTCGAAACCGTGCCATATATTATTTTAAAATTATCTGGGCTTGATGCCGATGCTTTGAATAAAATATATACGTGTGAAAGTAAAAAAAAAAACATACCTTTCCAATATTGTTTGTTTCTGCACAACGATTTACGATTCCGATAAATCATTTTGCTGATACACCTTTTCGAAGTGCTCTCTCGTGAGGTAGACGTAATTTTTTTTTTAACTGAGTGCTAATTACGGCAGTAACACCTAAATCATGGCAGACTGTGGCGGTGAAACTTTGTTACAGGAACTGATAAGAAACTGATACAGCCTTGATTGCACATAATTCACGTTCTACCTCATTAAGCAGCACTGGGAACCTTCAAAAAAAGTATGAGAGAGGGAGATGGGGATGCGACGAGTGAGAGAGAGAGAGATAGAGAGAGAGAGCCGAGCGACCGAGTTAAGAGTCAAGCAAGGTGTAATCGGGCCGCGTGATCAAAACGGAAAAGAGAGAGGAGAAATCGACGTGAACCCGTCGGATGACAAATGTATATTAAATCCCAACTAAAAGCCATTAAGGTCCCACCCGCTCCTGGCCTAGCAGTTTTGCTAAAA